ATCAGCTAAGAGTATTTATTTTCAAATGGAATCCGCAGCTATATGGCAAGTACAAAATGCAGTTCCCTGTTTTTTTTCAAATAGAGTAGTACTCATTTATTTACCTCAGAAAAAAACAGACAGTTCCGCTGGAAGACAATCTGCCTTAACCACGAATTCACTTGAACAGGTATTGTACCAAACGTCGCTTCAGACCTTGGAAGAGTTGCTTACTTGGAAGAGCGTCGGACTCAGAACTGAGAAAGTCCTGGTCAGAGCCCCGGTCACAATCACTCGCCGTTCTCATTTCCGAGGTTCATAAATGAGCGCCACTCTGTGGGAAAATACTAGCTTCTGTCGTCTCTGCCTTTAAAATAACGCTTGGCTGATGGTACGGAAATGAACAAGAAGAGTACCTGAATAGTCCCACCATGAAAGTTAAAGATCGATATTTAAGCGCTTAGAGACATTCTTTTCTTTCCTTCCATTACGTTGATATACCATTTAGATAAAATTTTTCCTGTTAATGCATACGCTTCTTCAACGTATATCTTTCTGTGGTGACTGGTGTTGTCTTTGAACCTAGACACCAAATGCCAGTATCGGCATGCTTCGCTTGTTCCGTTGCCTATCGTGTTCCGTAATACCGTTAATACTGTCCCTATCGTCCTTAATAGACTTATCCAACACGACACTCAGACTGCCCTTCTTTCATCTCAGAAGCAGCGGATTTTCCGCTAGAACACAATGTTTGACCTTTGGAAATTCAACTCAATAATTTCACGGAACTCTTTCCCTGGAATCAGCTTCCTCACTGGCCACTGCTTTCGTTGCCACCGTGCGCGCTTTTTGGCACCGCATTCGAGTTGAAGGCTCTTTACTTCCAAGCCATTTCTTGAATGCAACCTTCGTATGGCTGACAGCCAGCTGAACCTCTCTTGTCTGCTGGGAAGTTCGATTCTGATCTCCAGTGGTAGGCTGATGGGGCAGGCCAGCCCCATAAAATTCGACGGCAGCCCCGAGTAAGTCACTTTCATAAAGCTTCCATTCGGTTTCCATATCAGTAATTATCAGTGGGCTTTGTTAAAACCGTTTTGCGATGTTGTTTGCAAGTTTTTCTATCGTATCCGCAGAAGATAATGCTTATCATTTGATTCTCAGTTGCTTCTGCAGCCAGGTCTTAGTATGGAAAGTGTAAACGACAAAGTGATGAGAGGTTGCAAGTTGTGCGCCTTTCTTAATGCGCACATTTATTGCAGCTTCCATTCAATAATTCTGTTCCACCACAGTGCCAAAAAACCGGCCTGAGTACGGGTTGATGAGTCGATGTATGAGTAGAATAGCTTCCACCAAGAGGGGTTCAGAATTTCACAGCCATAGCGTTTCGTTGACGATAATCAAACTACAAGTCAGTACCTTAATGGCATCATCAGATAGTTCTTGCTCGTTCCATCCAAGTGAGGAGATGTCCCAATTCCAGATCATGATTAGTATCGTTTTCATGGAGCCTTATTTGACGTGCTATAATGGTATAGCTCTCTCGGCCTCCTCTATCAAAACTGGTAACGTTGCGAAAGCGCCCCGGCTGAAGCGTAGTTCTCTACAAAGCGGTAAACTCTTAGGCACTTTCGATCTGTCCTTCTTTAGCGATGTCGACTGTAACTGTACAACGTACAGTCGCTGGTCTGACCCTATACAGATGATGTTTCTGCCTATGGCCATCACGGTTTAAAGAATTTCCGTTGTCTGGGCATCTCCATGTCTGCTCTCGCCTTGAGAATTTTTGGAAAACAGTACTCATTGCGTGGAAATGGTTGGCTTCAGCAAAAGTTGTGAAGCGATCTCCACGCTCATACCTTTCGTCTTTACCGTATTGCCGAGAGACATCTCCATGTCATTCGTTCTTTTCCCTATCACTGCAATGAAGTCTCACGAACAGTTTATTTATTGTATTTGTGCTCTTCTACATTAAACTTTGTAATTCCTCGTAGAATTCTTCAATCTTCGTATTGTTGGGTCGAACAATATACAAAGTGATATATCACAGCTCAGTACAAAGGGTTCAGCCTCCCTTTTTATTATGAAATCGACTCTGCGTCCAAGCTGAGTTCTCAAAGGCCTTCCTGAAGAAAGTTTGGTCACCGTTATTCCATTGCCGCCAAAGAAGATTTTGATGGCGTTCCGGATCCGTTTTTCAATTGCGTATTGCAGTTTACTGAGCCGTAGGTGTTGTCCACATAAACGCAGTAGCCAACATATTTTCCCGGTCTCTTTTCAACTTTTAGCGTTTTTTTGAGTAAGTGTTTGCCAGTCCGTTCGGGGTGCGAACCCCCGTGAACTATTGCCAAAGTCCACCAAAAATTAATCCAGCCCAACGAATTCAGAGGCCTGGATCACTTTGTGGAGTTTCGGCCATGGAGAGGTATAGGCGAGCAGCGACACCGTTTCAAATTCAACGAAGTGGAATTCCGCACCACCGTCAAGCCATCACATAACAAGAGAACAGAAAAAATTAAAACAATAACAGAACTGTTTAACTTCATTTTTTAAAATTGCCCGCAGTATTAAGTAGCATTGATGGTGGTCATCAGAGGAAGCTTCAAGAGGAAGGAGACAAGAATTTAAAATTAGATATCACAAAAAATTTATTGAAATATATGCATTTTTATATAATGTAGTGTTTATACTTAATTTGAAGTCCTTTACGGGATGACACCACTTTACACTTTACGAAATTTTTACAAAATCTGAGATACAATAGCAAAATTTAATCCTAGTGCGATCAGAAGCAAGATCCACAGTGATCCCACATCTCAGGGTGGTGTATTACCTGTAGGATAGACCAAACTTGATGTATCTGTGCCCGCTGAGACGAGGAGCAATATCGGAACCGGGTTCGTAGTGTAAATTC